ACTAATTTCTCCTAAAGCCTCTATGTCCCCAGTGGGATTGTTTTGCATCCAACAGTCCTGCTAATACATTCTACAAGCATGGGGTTCTGAGGAGCAGCCCAGGCAGCGCAGAAACCTCTGGAACCATGGCAGAGGGACTCGCACCCTGAAGTGGGCAGGATCGGCCAGGGCGCCGTGCGTGGAATACTGCAGGTGTCCCTGGCACCGAGCTGCCGCTCAGATGCACGCTGCTTATCAGGGCTGTCAGGAAGCATTCAACCCCAGGATGACTGAACATTCCCCGGGAACGACTTGTCAGGAGCTGCCTCTCCGCCTCCTTCTCACCCAAAGCCCTCGCTTCCCAATCAGCCCAAACAGCCTAGTCCTTGGCTTTGGGAAGCAGCGCTGTTAACCCCTCCTCCTCCACGGAGCCCTCAGGGCTGGAAGTTCTGGAAGGTCTGGAGGCTCTACGGGTTGGGAGCTGGCTGTGCGGTGCGGGGGAGGTGCGGGTGTGGAAGACCTAGGCATCAGGCTGCCCCCGTCCAAATGGCCATGGCACCCCTTCCAACAGTAAGCCTATTACCTGCACAAGAGTTGGCTCTAGAATCGGTGCTTGTTGGATGAATGAATGAATGACCAGAAGGGTAAACTCTATGAGATTCATTCATTCATTCAAAAATATTTCCTGAGCATCTCGCCATGCTGGGCACTGTCCCAGATGCTGGGAGGACAAAAGAGACCAAGTCGCTGTTCCCATGAAGCTTACCTTCTAGTGGAGGGAGACAGATACTAGATAAATAAACAAATGAATACGGAAAGTAATACCAGGTAGTGGTGGATACTATGAAGAAAGTAAAGTAAGACGAGGAGTTGAGTCTGACAGATTGGGGGCGATTCTTTCAACTGGATGCTTCGGAGGGCCTCTCCAAGGAGATGACATTTGAACAAAGAGCTGAAGGTCATGAGAAAGTTGTGCAGTCATGGTGAGAACAGTAAGTGCAAAGGCCCTGAGGCAGGAAGGGTCTTGGGGAGTTTAAGAAACAGTAAAGCAACCAGAGAAAGTGGATAAAAGTGAGTCCTGGCAGGGACTTCCCTGGTGGTCCAGTGGTAAAGAATCACCTTCCATGCACGGGTACACTGGTTCAATCCCTCCTTTTAGGGAACTAAGATCCCACATGCCACGGGGCAGCCCGCGTGCCACAACTATTGAGCTGGTGAGCCTCAACTAGAGAGCCTGCGTGCCGCAAAGTACAGAGCCCATGCGCTCTGGAGCCCGCGTGCCACAACTAGAGAAGAGAAAACCCACACGACACAACTAGAGAGAAACCCGAGCGCCTCAACGAAGAGACCACGTTCCGGAATGGAAGCATCCTGCGTGCCTCAACAAAAACCCCATGTGCAGCAACTAAGGCTCAACCCAGCAAAAAAAAAGGAAAATAAATAAATAAAATAAATAAATATACTTTTGTTAAAAAAGTGGGTCCTGGCATGACCTAAGAGCAGTGGTTCCCAAACATGAGCATGCATCTGAATCACCAGAAAAGCTTATAAAAACACAGATCATGAGTTCCACCCCCAGAGCTCAGTTGGTCTGGGTGGGACCTGGGAATGTGCATTTCTAACAAGTCACTGTGTGGTCCAGGGACCACAGAATAGAATGTTTTTTCTTAATGCAATTAGTCATTTCCTACTCAACCCTGACCACAAGCAGTCATAGATCATCACTGCTTGATTACCTGCCTCCCCACTGGGTTGGATGCTCACTGAGAACAGCCACTATGATGGTTCAGTCCCTGGTACTTAGTAAGTAGTACTCAAGAAAATCCTTGTTGAATGAATCCCTCCAAGAAGGTTCTAGGCCTTGCCTCACTTTCTTTTGCCATTCTGCTGTATATTTGGCTTCGAGCAAAGGCCTGGGTCAGACCCATCTCTTACAGTCTCCCATTCACACCTAAGACAAGAGAGTCACCTGCCATTCTCCAAATGCTCAACTCACTCCGACAACTCTATGCCTTTGCACGTGCTGTTCCATCTGCCCAGGAAGTCCCTTCCCCTGTCTCTGCCTCATAAATTCCTACCCACTTTTCAAGGCTCTCCTTCCAGAATATCTTTCCCAACTCCCTCCACCTAACCAGGGTTAGGGGTGCTCCTTGGGGCCTTGTATCGATCCTTGTCAGAGGATTTCTTCACACATTTGTCTTTCTTGACTAAATGTCACAAACGGGCAGCCCCCAGAGTGAACCGGACAACAGAGGTATTCTACGCAGCTGCGGTGTTTTAAATTGAAGTTCGTTGCCAAAATTTGAGAGTCAGGGGAATTCACACAAAAAATCCAGATCCCTGGCTCCTCTAGAAAACGCAGGGTCCTGCAGCACTGGGCTGGTATTCCCACGTGTCCAGAATCGGCCAGAGCTGCCTGGGTCTCTGTCACCTTCACTTTGTGGCTCCAGCAACTAGCTCAGGACCTGGCCTAGGGTAGGCACTCAAGGAAAGCTTATTAATGAAACAGAAAAGACTACATCAAGCAATGGCAAAAAAACATCGGTTCCAAGATCAGGAGACCTGTGCTTGGTTCTGCTTCTAGCTGGCTTGTTGCACGAGCCTGGGCTCTCTGTGGGCCTCAGTTTCCTTACCTGTGAAATGAAAGGAATGACAGTTTCTACTTCCTAGAGTCATCGCATCCAACAAGAGAGAGGATGTGAAGGCGTTAGTGCGTGCCTGGCATATCTAATGCTCAATCAGCAGGAGCTATTAGTGCAGTGAACTCAATAAATATTTACTCTCTAGGATGGGAAGAAGTGTGAGAGGATTAGAGGCAGGAGAGGTTCCCGTCAGGGGCAGGAGGCTGAGAGTCTACCTGCGTTCAATTCCCAGTTCTGCCCTTCACTAGCCTTGTGACCTTGGGCATTTGATTTCACCTCATTTGGGCCTCAGTCTCCCTGTTTATCAAACAGGGATGATGCAAGCCTCACAGGGGTTACTGTGACTATCAAACAAGCACATGAATATTAAATTAATGAATTCTTTAAAGCAATCAGAATGAGGCCAGCACTCGGTGTGTGCTCAGCAAACGCCAGCTGTGTTATAGCTGCTCAGGGAGGGGTGAGACTAGAATTTCTCAAGGGCCCTCACGGCTCCCAAACTGTCTGATCACCTAAAACCCAGTGACAGTCATGCTGCTGTCGTTTCGTCATCAACGGTGTATAGAAGGCCCTTGGGATGGTGGAGTGAGGTGGTAGAATTCATCGTATGGGGTTTACCACCTCTCTGGGAAGATCCAAAATGCTCTTACAATGATGCTGACCAAAATCGCACACAGGAGCAGCAAGGAAAGGGCCAGGGCAGATGTGGTGCCGAGGAGGACAGCCCTAGGAGGGAGGTGCGATTATTACCACCCCCGCCCCTCGCAGATGAGGAAACTGAGGCTCCCAGATCTCAGCATCTGAGCCCCATGGAGCTGCCTCAGGAGGGTGACTCACTCAAGAGGTCCTTTAAGGGACTGACGTGACAGCATGGAGGCGAAGGCAGGAAGGCCAGGCAGAGACTTCGTGACTCACCAAGGCCTGGGGTGTCTGAGACAGACTTGCCCGATGTCTCCAAAGAAAACAAGTAGGTAAGGGAAATGCAGGAGACAGGTCTTAACCACACCACCAGCAATGACTGCCAAGGAAAGACAATTCCAGACAACTCGCACTGTTTCACTCCCCATTCAAGGCTGAAGCATTCACAGCGATTTATAGAGCGTGTGTGTGTTCACTGCCCTGCACAAGGCTGGTAGCCAAATGAAAGGCATGTGATGGCGAATCCTGGGGGCAGGCGTCTTCCCTGAGGGGCTGCTCTTCCCTTTCAGCACCAGCCATCCCAGGGGAACCAGCGAGAGTGAGAAGAGGGGTGCATGCATCTGGCCAACATATGACAGTGATGATAAACCCAATCTGTCCAGATAAACCTCTTCTCATTCATCCATTCATCACCGATGAGCACCAGCTATGTCCCAGGCACCTACAGATATTCTCTCTTCTAAGCCTCAGGACAACCCCAGAAGGTGGGTTCCATTAGCCCCTTTTAAAAATGAGGAACCAGGCTCAGGAGTGAGGCGACTTGCCCAGGTCAGGAAGACAGCAGTGACTGCAGACTGGGGTTCCTGACCGCCAGCAAGAGGGGCCTCCCCGGAAAGTCCACAGATATATCCGGAGCCTCCCTGTGGGATGGGAAGTGTCCTGGAGGCTCGCTTTCATTCCGTATGTGGTATGTGACACACTGTCCACTTTACAAGAGGGGCTGGACTCAGAGGAAAGTACAGCCTCCAATTCCTGAGTCCTACGGCTCCTCTACATCCCTCACTTGTCTTTGTTCCACAGACGTCACTTTTAACACTTTCATATTTTACATTTTAAAGCGCATAATATCCCTGGGCTTTAAAAAATCAGATTCCCCTGAGAGATTGATGCACCTTACGGCCGCGCTCCCCGGAATCTGGGACTTGGGGGAGCGACAAGAACCTCAGCGAAGTCAAACCAGCTCAAAGCTCCGCCTGGGCAACTGCACCTTATCCACGGAGCAGGCGCCGCTCCAGCCTCCCGCGTTCCCGACCGGCCCACTTCGTGGGCGAACCCACCTCCAGAAGGGCAGGAGGCTGAGACGAGTCCCCATTCCTCCCGAAGATGGGCCAAGCCAGTCTCTGGCCAACCAGAAAGCTTCTTTTAACACCGCCTCTGGATACACGACGTTGGAACTGCTTTTCCCTGAAGTTTCAGGCTGTGCGGGGGCGGGAGGCGGAGATGATTGACATCTCTTACAACTATTAGTCAAGCGAGATAAGCTTGAAGAGCAGATATTACTACGAATTATCCTGCGAGGAAATGTTGTTAGCCACGCCCCCTCCTCCCACTGGTCTCCGTGAGCCTTCGGGGTGGGAGCTTTTGATGGCAGCCAATCGACGGTCAACGAGGAGGAGGACGACGATGAGGAGGCGGGGCAGGCGGGCTATGTTTTCCTGGAGAGCGCCTGTCTCCGTGCTTGCGGCCGGAGGGTTGCTGGGTCGCTATTCCCGGACCGCACTGCCAGGGGCTGGGCCCAGTACGAGAGCCGCATCGCCTCGCTGTCACCTTCCAGGCTACCTTCTGAGGCCTTGAACCTGGCCCCATCTGGCGCTCCTGTGAGCCCCGCTGCGACCCTAGCGCCCGATATCCTCCCCGCGGGCTGTCCGGAGGGTCCAGGCCCCATTGTCCTTGTCCCCACCGCGGCCACAGGCCCCTTGAGCGCTAGCCCTCCCCACTCCCCTTCCCAGGCAGGGCCACCAACGCCTCCAGCAGCCGTTCTTCTGTCTGGTCCGTGGAGGTGGTTGGTTACCATGGTGAAGCTGGCAGCCAAATGCATCCTGGCAGGTGAGTCTGAAAACTTGCGGGTGAATGCAGTCTCCGGAGTCCAGAGACTTCATAAATTGTCGAGAGCTTTTGTTCACGTAAATTGTCTACCCTCTTTCCC